CCTCTTGTCTTTTCATTTTTTATATACTGGAATCACAGTGGTCTTTTTCCAGATTTCTGGCAGCTGTCTTGATTGGAAAGACTGACTGCCTACCTTTGTATATACTTAATAAGTTACAGAAGATTAAGATGCGTCAGCGAAGGTGATCACTTCTTCGTAATTTTACAGGGAGTAACGAGGACTGAAATCATTAGAAATGAACAGAAATAAGAAAACGTTATAAAAAGACATAATAATAAATAACAGAAACAAGTCGGAGATAAGACAGTATTGAACATTCAACGTGAGGGATGACAGAGGCTCGAACCTCCATCTGTTTACTGCAAAAAACACACACTACTTATTCGCGCTTCATATAAACACTCGCTACTTACACCTTCTCCATAAACATACGCTACTTACACCTAGTTTATAAAAACACATGCTACTTACACCACTCCATAAAGTATGCTCTACTTACACCTTCTAAAAAAAACATGCTACTTACACCTCCCCATAAAGTGGATAAAAGTGGGACAGTGTCAGCCGGTCAACTCACATCAGATGACGTCATGGCATCTCTGTGAGTTATCTCACAAATTCGCGTAGAAGTGAAGAGGTTGGGGAGGTATGTTCATCAGAGGTGACAAACTGAGACCACCTGACACACTCAGTAGGTGCAGGTGAAGGCCAGGTGGCGTGTGCATTAATTAGTATTAAGAAAGCTGCCTGCTAGACGGCTCGGCTGACACCGACAAGACTATCAGCGCCTCATCCAGCATGTATGAGCAGACATGCACGTACATCCACCTTAACTGATGCACTTGTCAACAGAGACTTGCCTGCCTCTTTCCCTGACGGAGTGGGGAAAACACGTACGTAGATGTATCCTTAGAGAGACTTAAGTTTTGTCGCCGACTACACCAGCCTCTTGCTGGCAGGTTATAATATAATAATAATATAATGTAATATAATATAATATAATGATAATATAATGTAATATAATATAATATTTTTATTTCTACAAGTACATATACACGGTATACAGTCCTAGCTGACATCAGTGACATACTACTACATATAAAGCCGCTTGTTATGCTGAGCATTTGGGCAAAGG